GTTAAGGTTCAAACCCACACCCTCACTATATCAGTGTATTTACCCACGTGGGCGCGCGACACAAAGGGTGCTAAATTAGATGGCTGGGACTCACGAGCAAATAAAATGAAGGAAGCTGCAGGCGATGCGGTAGCTGCTGCTCGTGAGTCCCAGCCATCTAGTTTAGCCCCGTGACTTTAACTTGGCGGAAGCTTATCCGCGGTATGCTGTGTAGTCGCTGGAAAGAGGTCCGCAATTTACATGTGACTGAGGCCCTGTTAGGGTATATTTTCGGCCTCGATAATTTGGGACTGTTATTTGGAGGATAGCCCAAATTTTTACTGATCTGACAAAAAGAGTGAATACAGGTTGTAGACTTAATTTTTGCTTTACTTACACACGTCCTGCTGATACAAGGGCTCCTACTGCTTTAGTGAGAGCGAGTGAGTGAATGAGTGACAGAAAGAGAGTGAGTGTGATAGAGTAAATGAGTGAGAATGAATGAGTGAGAATGAGTGGATGAGAGAGTGAGAGTGTGTGTAGGTGCATGCGTGTGCGCGCCTAAATTTCAATTTTTAACTACCCTCTATACTCTATTTACACTGCTATTTTCTTGGTCATAAAATAAAGAAATTTATCTACCAACTTCTTTCTACTAATGCTTGTATGAGAGCACTTCAAATGAAAACCTTAAGTGTGATAAAAATTACAATAAACATGCCACAGTCTTGCGACCTGTCAATACTGTTGTTAAGAAGGTCAAGAGTGTTAAGTACGTGATTTCATGGTACAGAAGAACATGATGCTGCCATAAATGACAGTTTAAAGATGTATGAGTGGAGTAGGAAGTTTCCAAACAGCTTGATTCTACCACACACTGGTTACCACCGGATCAGGCACAGTCGTGAACAGGCTGCCACAGAAGTCACGCCATTCTGAAACCTCCTAATCCACTTATACACTTGCAGGACTGACAGGCATGCATCACCATACTGGATCTTCATTCGCTGATGAATTTCTATTGGTTTTAGCCTTTCATTGATTAAAACAAAACAAAAATTGGTAACAGAATGCTGCTTATCTTTGGTGCATGTCAAAAGTGGGGTGGCCATCTTTAAAGTCATTACGATGTCATAATGTTCATCTGCACTGTGATGTCATGTACTAATACTCTTGACATTCTTAACAATACTACTGATAGGTTTAAAGACAATGGCACGGCTATTGTCATTTCTATCATACTTTTAAAGTGCTGATATGAAGCCTTCCCGTAAAATATGGTCAACTGTAATAAATAATGGTTTTAAAGTAAATTATAAACTGTAGTGAATTACTACTTCTACCTACAATGATACATTTTACCAGAATTTATAAAACATCACATCAAAAAAATATATTGTTAGTGTACAATTAATGTAACAACTATTCAGTTAAAAAACATATCATCAAGTATCTTGCTAATTGGCAGGGATGATCCCACTTCTCCACATCTTGTGATCAATAGCTTGAATTAATATAAATGCTGACACCTTTCTGTGTTATAATAAAATAGCTGCAAAACTGGAGAAACAAATAATTCTCTTGTTGTCCTCTGTTTCTCTACATAAATCTTTCCAGAGAATCATGAATCTATCACATTTATAAACATCAAGGATATTCAAGATACAGAATGACATGTAAATATGCTGATAGTGTTGAGAAACAACTTAGAAATATACGTCACAATGCTGATAATATTGAAATAAAACATACATATAAGATAAAACTTGGATATCTTTTCTACGGGAACAGTTTCGTTTCCAAAACATATCCATAAAGTGAATGACAGAAGCTTTATTCCAGTCAGAGTAAATTTGCACAATTACCTTCTAAAGTGAGAAAATTGTTAAAGGTCAAGATACAATCACAGATAAGATATTTACAGATGGATAAGAAAACAGAGTAATCTAAAGACTTTGACAGAAGGTAAGAGAAAACTATCAACAAAACTGGGAGAGGAGAGGGGGTTGTAACTGTAGTTGTAATTCTCTCAGTCTCTATGTATGTGTGTGTGTACATGTGTATATGTGTTTGAACTGCACCTCTGCACTTTGCTGTTGAACAAGAGGTTAAAAAAGAATGAAAAAAAGTTATGATTAAGAGTTAATGGCAACTATTTCAATTCCCTTTTTTCATGCACCATGCAGTCAGTTTCAGCACAATTACAAATGTCGACAGCTTAAAGAATGTCTTGAGTTTTAATCTAGTCCTGTTGCATGTTACTGTTTTTTTTTTTTAAATACTGAATGCGTGTTGTTGACAAAACTCTCACTCTCTCTCTCTCCTCTCTCTCTCTCTCTCTCTCTCCTCTCTCTCTCTCTCTCTCTGTCTGTGTGTGTGTGTGTGTGTGTGCGTGCGCGTGCGCGCGCGCACATGCCTTATTACAAACTTTTCAGAACATTCTTATGATGAATTATTTTACTCATCAAAGATGAAAACAGCAGATAACAAAGAGTGAGATGCAACACAAAATCTAAATTGTTGAAATCACCACTAATTACTGGCATCACAAGATGAGGTTAACCAACTGCAATGGTTGGCGCATAAAGACAGATTGTTAGGTGAGAGAGAGAGATACAAAACTGCGTATGCAAAAGATTTGAATGGGAGTGGAATATGAGACAGGCCAAAAAAAAGACAAGTGGAGAGATTATATATGGCAGCCCAACAAATACGTGGAAGTCGCCGTGGCATAGCGGCTAGACGCGTGCCGCGGATCGGAAGGTCGTGGGTTCGCTCCCTGGCGGAGCCGGACTTTTCTTCAAACATGACCTTGGCTCCCAGGTCGACCCAGCCTTGAATGGGTACCGGGTGCAGTCCAGGGAAGTAAAGGCGGCCGGCGTGATGCTGACCACATCACCCATCTTGTGCCGCTGGTTTATAAAAATATAGGTCTAGCCCTATATGCCCTATACGCCTAAAGGCGTGGAAAGGGTCCTTTACTTTACTTTTACTTTTACTTACAAATACGTGGAGTCACCAGCTAGAAAAAATACAAAGAAGGACAATGAGAGAGATAAGAAAGAAGAAAAATGTCTAGGCAACCACTAGCATCACCAGTAATAAGACAGAGAAGATGGCCCGGTATCGGACATACTCTGAGAAGAGACAAACAGAGGGACTGAAGAAATGAGGATGTCCAAGACAAACCCTAGAGCAAACTTTGATGAAAAGAGCCAAAAGTGCTGGACTGAATTCCATCCATGACATCAAACTGCACAGGACAGAAGAGAATGAGGAAATAAACTGTGAGCCCTATGTGACACATAATGGCACAACACACCAATGAATGAATCAAAGAGATGAATGGAGGTGGGTGATATCTGCAGCAATAAACCTCAAAGGTTTAACTGGCTAAAGGAGAAGAAAAAGTGTGTGTGTATATGCATTGAGCACTCATTCTAAAAATTGTGGATTGATGATGATGTTACGTATTCAGTGACTTGTCCTTTAGCCCAATACTGTGTAGTGAGAAAAGCATGCAAAGATCCACAGTTGATGTTTATCTGACATGTGTGGAAGAAGCAACAACATCCCAACATCTGCAGGTGCTGGTCACTCAGGAAAAAAATTTTTACCAACAGTTTAGTAAAAGCACACAACAAGGCAAACACCCCCTGGAGTGTGCAATAGTTGAAATCTGTTTAGAGGCAAAGTCAACCAGCTGTTAAACAGCTGAATCATTAAAAACATTTATATTAAAACCAAAATTAACTGTTTGAACTTAAAAGTTACTGTGAACTGCTTGAACTTAAAGTTACTGTGAAGCTTAAAATAACTATTTACAAAAGATTTCCGGCTGCCGTTTCTTGTGGTTATGTTTCTGAGTACATAAGACAGGACTATTCAACTGGCAGCACACAGGCAAAATCTGGCCCGCGGAGACCTAGAAAGTGACGTACGGATCATTACCAGCTGTATTGTATAAATAATCCTTCTAAGCTAGGGCTCTGGCCTTTGGCCCATAAAGATTCACATTTTCAAAATTTTAAACTTAGTTGAATAACCCTGACATAAGATAAACTGGCAGCTTGTGACATATTAATTTCCAAGATAATACAGTAGTACCAGCTAGAAGAATATTCTCATCCACACTGAGGCGAATCTGTTAGAACTGACCTAGGTCAACCCAGCCTTACCATGAAAGCTAATCTGGGGAAACTAATGCCCACAGAAGATAGATAAGTCGACCAAAAGGCGTAGATTTTGCACTTATGCTGTAAACAGGCACACACTTTTACGTCACTCGGATGAATGGTGAGGAAGAATAACCCAGCCTCAATTGGGTATCAGGAAATGTTCTGAGGAAGAAATAAAGATGTTTAACATTCTGCTGGCCAAATCACCCATTCAGTGTTGATTTGTGTAGACAAATATGGACCTAACACCCTATAGCTGATATGCCAATGGGGATTTCAGAGTCAGCATTCCTTTTGTTTCTCTTTAGCATGTATCTGATTTATTATCTGTGCTGTCAAAGCCTTCAAATCTCCATCGATTCTTCTTCTTAAAAATCCACGTTGTGTGGTGCTGATAGTCATGTCTATCCACAACTTTCTGACTCGTGTACTTTTTACCAACTCTGACACAGATGATCTTTCATGCCATGATATCAAACTATCCAGCATCTTCTCTCTCGGTCTCCCTCTACCTCTGTGTCCATCAATTACAAAAGCCATTTGTGAATAGATGCAAGCTGTAGAGTCTTAGTCATTTTTTAAATAATTTTCTACAGCTGAAAAATTGGACAAATCAGATTACACCTTTTTTTTAAAGCCAAAAACAACAGAAATGAATATTAACTTAATTAAGCTGTGCTTCAATTTCACCTTAACAGATGGATAGGTCCTGTGTATTATTTCTTATTCCGTTTTTTATACATATTTTATATGTACAACTTAATAAACTTGTACAGGCCATGATTAAAATGTTTGCAGCGCATTGCTGGTCTTTGCATGCACTGAATTCAGTACGAGAGAAAATCATGACTGTCTAACTTTCATTTGCTCTTCATCCTCGCATCCCGAATCATCGGCTGACTCTGGCTCATCTTTGGTGAGTTTAGGTGACCTGATGAAAGCAGCGGAGTCATCTCCCTTGACCACTGACTCGGTGATGATCACAGTGGTGATGTCAGATCCAGGCACTTCATACATGGAGTCAAGCAAAATAGTTTCCTGAAAGTTTTCAGAAATAAAAAAAAAACATGAATATCATTAGACTTTGATAAAACTTCTAGAGATACAAGAGGACTTAATTATGAACACTGTGGACATGTGGGCTCCAGTGGTTCACTGTTGCGGTTGGGTGTTGTTTATGGTGTACGTGTGCGTGTGAAAAACAGAGCCACTGTCTGTTAACAAACATGTTATTAGAGGTGCTAATAAAGGATTTCTGAAGTCAGAAGTGCAGGGGCTGAAAGGCAAAGACATCACAGCCTAGCTGTAAATCACAAAACAATGTGCCAACTGCACTTTTCATTGTGAAAGAAAAAGAAGGAGGAAGAGGAGGAGGAGGAGAAGAAGAAGAAGAAAAGGATCCAAGAACCTTTTTATGCTGAACTTATTACTTGACCATATTTTCAGTATTGCAATATTAACTATATTTTATGAAAACTTGTACAATTCACATAATCTTTTTCATGATATCTCCAGGCTCACAATAATCTCAACACACTATCTCTATCCAGATTCTTTAAGGTAAAGAGAAAAAGAACAAAGAAAACACATGTACTGTATGTTGTATAGTGTAGTCATCATGTAGTCAGTACATGACCATATCCTTTTGCTGACCACTGGAGATACATTTCATATCCCATCTATGTTAATGGCTGGGTCAGATGGTCTTGCTCATGCCAGAAGTACACATGTCCGCCGGCGTGCAGTGAAGAAAACCCAACTTATAACTTGCACATTTCAAAGTGATCCTTAATATTACTCCTTGAAAGAAACTCCATAACTCTTCATCAACTTTACCAGTTTTCTCGTAAATGGGTCAGTTCGATCAGAATATGGCTAATGTGTATCGTTCCTTGACCCCAAGAATACGGTTCTCAGAAATTATGTTATCGACGTCTTTGCATACTGGGCATTTCCATGCGTGCGCAATCCTCTGATGTATGTGGTAAACTTAAATAGCAGGCACAAACTATTTATAAGTAGCATCAACATCCTCAAAATATCAGATATCACAAAAGATTGGAAACTGATTATCACAGATGTCTGTCCCAGACAAAGGACCTCGAGCAGTATCTTTGTCTTCTTAATCCATGCTGCATGGCGTTTAGAGGTCTCAGGTATTTTTAATCAACTCTGCTTCAGATGATCTTCCATGCCATGATGTCAAAATTTCCAGCATCTTTATCCATGCCATATTGAGTTTAGAGGTCTCGTTCATTGTCAATCAACTCTGCTACAGACGATCATCCATGCCATGATGTCAAACTGTCCAGCATCTTCTCTCTCAGTCTCGAACTGATGCTTTTCCCTTCAATTTTCCACCGTCACAATGTATTCTAGCTTGTTTTACATGATGTGACCAAAGAATGTAGAATGTCTTCTTTTGATTAGGGAAATCAGGTCTTTTCATGAGTTACTCTCTTTCAAAACATCTAAATTATTCATTTTATTTGTCCAGGATGTTCTCATCATTTCACACAATTTTTCACTAATTGTCCATTATTCACTTCCAAATAACAGATTGGAATAACATAATAATACAGCAGTACAGCAAGTATGGAAAGACAAAAGATCTATGTGCCTCTACATACCATGATAGCTCTAAGTCCACGGGCACCTGTTCTTCTTTCTAAAGCAAGTCTGGCAATAGCTCTTCTGGCTTCATCCTTGACATCCAGGGAAACCTGGCAATTGACAAATAAAACAATAAAAAGTAGATTTTGATCTGAAATATTTTTGAGCTACATATGAGAAAACATAAATGTTCTAACAGCTTAAAATCTATAATAGGTATGTCACAACCCTATCAAGTACAGTCAGTGTACCACACCGTAGGTGGGGGTGTTGACGTGACACCCCAGGGTTGACACAAAGGTCAGGGCCGTGACTGGTCAAGTCCGTTCTGTGATCGCACGGCGAAACCAGCTCTCAGGATAAAGCAAGAAAGACTGAACTGTGGTGTAGTAACACGATGACTGCTTTTGGGACTGAGCTGGTGAACGGGGTCAAGAGACACGAGGTAGAAGGAAGAAGGACATTCGGTGTGCGTCGGTCAGGAAGAGAGGACGTTTAGCAAGACAGTTGTGTTATAGTATTAGAGTTAGGATATAGCTGTTAGTGACTGGATAGTTTATGTTATAGTATTAAAGTTAGGATATATTTCTGTTAGTGACTGGATAGTTTATGTACAGTTTTGTGTTAGGATAGGATAGTTCTTGTGTAGAGTATTTATGTCAATGTGCTGTGAGAGAGTGGCTAACCTGGACACTCTGACCCTGCACTAAGACAGAGACTGTGACAGTTTGATTGGGTCAGTGTAGCGATAGAAAAGAACGTATCTCGACGGGCTGTGGTTTGTACACCAGGAGGTTGCCTGTAGCACGTACTGGGAGACGAGGTAATTGTAAAGCCCGTTCAGCCAGAAGGTCCAGGCAATAGGTGGCCACACGGCGGGAAGTCAACTGTCTATGTATTACCTGTACTTCCAATAAAGATTGTCGTGTGTGCTCTGTGTGCGTTCGGGTTCAGTGTGTGTTGTAGGTTAGTCTGTCTGTCATAGGCCTAGTTAGCGAGCCACGGACCGGCAAGGTCATACCAGAGGTTTGTGACAGATTATGGGAGCGTTCGTCCTTGGGAATTGAATCTATAGTAGTAGCTAGATAGTAATAGTTGTCCGCGTTAATTGTGAACCCAATGTGCTTGTATTTATTTGTCTAAATAGGAGACATAGATTAGTTTGTATGTTTAGCTGACTGATTTATTTTTCTTTAAGTTTTGTCGTTCACTATTGTAGGGCTAACGTGATTGAGTTAATCCCTTAATTTTGATGTTGCTATCGAGTAAGTTTGTGATGGCGTAGCTGAGTTAATTCTCTTAAATATTGCATCGTTGTCCGGGCCTACTCTTAATTTTTGATAGCGACATCGGGGTTGGCTTGGGTCACCTGTAGCGCTATAAAGTGATAGTTTGTTATCGTTTTCGTATTTGTTCCGACTGATTGTAATTAATAATGACTAAATGTGATAGGGCTGCGTTTGCGTCGTGACAAGTTAGTGACGTAGAGGAGAAATAGTTTGACGGACAGTAAAAAGTGTGAGGAAGGTCAAGATTGTGTGCTGTTGTGTGGTTGCTGCCGACATCGATCAACCGAGGCCTGTCGATCTCGGTCATCACCTCATCCTCATCGTCCTTTCTGTGGGAGGCCAAGAATCAAGGACTGGAGAGAAGATAAGTTTGTTTTGCTTTTGGTGTATTGTTGTGGTCTGTTCTCCAGCCCTCGAGGGTTCTACGCAGTTGTATTTGAGCCCCTGGCACCGTTCATTATCCTTCTCATTTCTCGTCTGTCCTATTCATCATTTACGTTATTTTCGTTCATTTGTGTAATAATTTTTTTTTTGTGCACACATCATCATCCTTCATTCGGAAATTGTAACGAATAAGTTTCGGTGACCCATCCCTTTTCTGTATCGAACAGTCCAAATTGTTCCATAATTATTATTATTTTTGTATTGCATTTATTAATTTGCTATATTATTTGCATTGTTTTCACTGATTTCCGGGCTTGCCACTTGTAATTTTTAGTATTTTTGTTCGTGGCAGCTACGGTTAGTCAGGTGATTTGTTGAGTGGTTGTTGATTATTATTTTGAACGAAAGATTACTTTGTTGCAACTAAAATGTCGAGTCTCGCTGAATTTATCGAGATGGCCAAACAGCATGGGATGACGGGTGAAAAGGTGCTGGAATGGGCGGATAAGAAATATGGAGAGTTGAGAGAAAAAGAGGAACGTGACAAAGAGAGAAAAGACAGAGCTGACGAGAGAGAACTCAAGAAACTGGAGTTAGAAGCCGCTAGTAAACTAAAGCAGATCGAGCTGGAAGCCCAAGCGGCATTAAAAGACAAAGAGTTATCTGCGATGGCTGAGAGAGACAGGGTACAGTTGTTGATAAAGGAGAAAGAGCTAGAACACACCGCTACCTTGAGACTCAAAGAGATGTTATGCAATTCAGACCTAGAGAAAGAAAGGCTGGTGATGGAACTAAAAGCCAAAGAGATAGAAGCAACTAGAGATGCTGAGGTGCAAATGCGTAAGGCTGAGATAAAGGCTGCTGAACCTTCGTTCAAAAAGTACCAGGGCCTAATAAAATTTTTTACACAGGGTGATTCCATATCTGCATGGACACAAAATTTTGAATGTATGGTTAATCACTATGAGGTCCCTTTTAAAGAGTGGTCACTGATTTACCGAAAACATCTAGGGGGGGAACCTTTGAAATTACTAGAAACAATCCCTACTGAAAAACTTGAGGATTATTATTTTGTCAGGGACAGAATTCTCCAACATTTCTTCCTAGATGAGGAATCTTACAGAAATACCTTTAAAAATTTGATTCCTAAAGCTGAACAGACATTTCTGGATTACATGTCTGAGGTGGTATCCACTTTCGACAAGTGGGTAACATCGGCGAAAGTGAACAAATCATACGAGTTGTTAAAAGATCTTTTGATAAGAGACAAGGTGTTGTCAAGTGTCCCGAGCAGCATGAAGACGTTTTTGATTGAGCAAAAACCTGAAACAGTAAAGCAGATGGAAGATGCAGGTGCTGCATACTGGAATGCACACAGAAACATTTTTAGTTTCAATAAGGGTGCAGATGTAAGTTACGGAGCTGCAGTACAACCTGTATACAGGAAAAAGCAATATACTCACGAGAAGAAAGGAGAACACTCGAGAGAGTACAAGAGTTACAGACCTCTTAGAGATAGAGGACCAATAGTAACATGCCTGTACTGTAAGAGAGATCATGGTCAACGACAGTGGTGTGAGCAGAACCCAAAGTATGAAGATCATTTTCGTAAGAGAGAGAAAGCAATGCAGGAGAAAAATACAGTTAAATACTGGCTCGAGTGTCGACTATGTGACTCCATCGATCACTTACAAAAAGATTGCAAGATGAGAAGAAGACAGACATCAGAGTGCGGCTGCAGAAATATCTGACAGTGGCAGTGATTCTGAAAGCAGGTTATCTGATGGGAGTATGGCAGATGTACCTACAGCAAATGCAGCTGAGCTGGCAAAATTTCTCTGATACATGTTGCCAGATCTGTAGAGATTTTAATGAGGATGGTAATCTAACCTGTGGTCACAGCGTGATAGGAGAGGCTAATACTGTAACCAGTTTCGATGGCCAGGTGAAACTTACGAAAGGGTTGGTTAACGGCAAAGTAGCGACAATCCTGCGAGATTCTGGTACCACAGTATTAGGGATAAGAGAAAGTCTGGTGGATGAATGTGATTTGACAGGGGAACATATTATGTGTCGAACCTTTTCAGGAGCGAAAGAAAAATATAAATTGGCATGGGCAGATATAAAATCGGCTTACTGCACAGGTAGAACAAAATTTGCAGTGCTAGAAGACCCTATTGCTGATGTCATTCTGGGAAATTGTAGTAATGTGAAGGATGTATCTGAAAGTGATATCTCAAAATGGCAGTATGATAATATAGCCTGTAGTGGTGATCCAAAAGAGCAGTATGTCAGTGCGAATGAATCCAGTGGTGAGCCAAAAGAGCAACATATGAGTGCAAATGAATGCAGTGGTGAGTCAAAAGAGCAACAATTTAGTGCGAATGAATGCAGCGAGACAAAAGAGTGTTTGCCAAATGCATTTTTCGAAATGACGACGTGGCCTACTGATGATTCAATGCTGTCAGATGACGAGACAATATCACACGAAAGATTAATGGCAGCATACAACACTGAGACACACAGGGAAAGCAGTAAAGGTATCATAAATGGAAAACCAGGTTCAGTAATAAGAACAGCTGACACATCTTTTTCACTTATTAGAAAGTCCATATTGAAAGACACAGACTACACAGGGGAAACAATAAAATATAAAATGGGAGGCAAGAAATGTGAAATGAGAATAGCTATGGTAGATGTTGAATCTCCATTTCTTTGCAGCAGAATAGAAGTACTTGCATGCAGAAAACCCCCTGCAGATGTCATCATTGCAGGAAAAGAAAATCCAAAGGGCTGTACCATGAAAGAAATACAGGAGTGGGAAAAGATTAATTACGTGCCAGTAGTGCTAGCCCAGACCCAAGCAAAAGTAAAGAAGAAGTAAAGAACATATATGAGTGCATGACATGTAACGGTGTGACAACATAACTGCAATGTTGTAACGGGACAGCAGTCAGTGAGAGAGATTGATGTGAATGAAAGTGGATGTATGAAAAATATTTTAACGATAAACACATCAACTCAAACAAACCTCTCAGAGAAATCCTACACAAATAAACATGAACATTTAACTGATAATGTTTATTCTAAAGAAGTGTTCATACTCCTTTCTAAACCAACTGACAAATTATTGGTTGAGGAGTTCCATAATTGAAACTGTCATTCCTGACTCTAATGTTGTTGATACGACAGATATTCTCTTGTCTGTACTACAAGACTTACCTGCAACCAAACAAATCTTTACACCTAAGACTTACCAACAAATTTTAGAAACATCTACACAGAAAGCTGAAATTGATAATGTACTCTATGATGTGCCAGGCAGATTTACACACATTTACCAGCATTTACTGCTAATAGTCAACAAACCGGTCAAAATAAAACATGCTTTATTATTTCTGATATTGCAATGTATACTGTTGACATGCACATGTTTA